AAATAAAACATAATAAATAATTCTCACGACGTTTCGGCCACAACGCAAGCAGCGATCCTGACAGACCTGTTCTTCACCTGAGGACGGCTGCTTGCGTTGTGGCCGAAACGTCGTGAGAATTATTTTATTAAGTTTTATTTTATTATTTTATTATTTCCCTTCTACGTGACTTTACCGAAAGAACCAAGAAGATGAATCCCTGCAGTCACGAAAGAAGCTTTAAATCGAAACTTTAACTGGTTGTTGATGTTTCCATCCTACTTGCCATTGTCAGCAGTTATTTCCAACTCTCTCAGCAACGTTGGCTTTGTTAGTGAGTCATTTAGCCCGTTAATGTAAAGACATTTAACTTGGTAATGTAAATTGGTAATGTCACTCAGAGTCGGAAATAACTGCTGACAATGGCATGTAGGATGGAAACATCAACAACCAGTTAAGGCTTTACCTAATTAATAACGTCCTTCCAATGATTGCTCTATTATTTGAAGACAACTTTAGTTTCCCCAATGTAACTTTTACCGCAGACACAACTAAGTTTGTAGACACCAGGTATTGCATGTCAGGAATCACATCTTTCACAGGTGGGATCAGGCCACGGATTGTGTGTACCGTGTTGAATCGAACCTGAATCTTGCGTTTGTTCAAGATTTTGGAAATCTTTTTGGTAACCCCTGCTATGCATGGCAAGGTGATGTTTTGATTGGGTCCTCAGATGGTCCTCTCCCCCTCTCGGCTCTATACATATAGGAAATTGTTTCAGCACCTGTTTCTCTCTCCCACCTGAAGTGAATTGCTTGCGTGGCGATCGAAACGTCGTGATCTGTTATTGTTTCGTACCCCACGTGGCTTTAACCGAAAGAACCAATGAGTATAGCTATGATAGCAGACAGACAAAGACAAGATCGCCCTATAGCCTTAGAGGTTTTTTTTTGTGGACAAGTGCTGTTAGCGAGCACCTACACAGGCCGGCACAAGAGGGTGGGTGGCCATGCACCATGCCCGATTGGCAATGTTTACACACCGCACTAGGTACTCATATTGAGGCTGAGTCGACCTAGGGGAGGCCCCGGACTGGTGGAGATAATCATCACGCGCATGCAGACAGATACACGGGCAGACAAGGGCATACACGGACACCGCACGCACTCATGAGCGTCGCCAAGTAGCGTCGGGTTTGTGTCGTTTGGTTGTGTTTATATAATGACAGTTTTGTTAATTTTAATTTTCGCCGATTGCACACGTTTCTTGTTCATTAAAACACATAATTCTCGGTTGTGTTGGCTCCGTTCAATGTCGGCAGCCACGCGAATTTGGAGTCTGCCTCGTTAAAGTTATGGTCATTTGGACGTATTGGATGGTTTACCCAAATTCTTGTGCGGGGAAATTGATGAAAATGAATAAAAATAAAATTTAAATAAATGGAAAATAAATCAATGAATCACGACGTTTCGGAGGCAACACAAGCTTCCTTCATCAGGTGTAAAAAGGCACAGCAAAATATTTTCATTCATTATTTTTTACCTACGTGATTTTAACCGAAAAAACCTAAGAGTATGAATCCTTGCAGTCACGAAAGCTTCAAATCTAGAATCGGGGGAAATTGAGTTTTCAGGTCCATATGGGCAAACAGCCGTTTAAATACGGACAAAAAAAAATCGTTAGCAAAACATTGTTTTAATAATGAACACAATGTTTTGCTAATGTTTGTCCATTTGTTTGTGTCTCTCCCTTGTGATGGGACTTTAAAGGATGAACTTTGAGATGTATAAGGGCACGGGGGTGACCAGTAAGGTCTAAATTGGTCTGTAATAAGCGGCTGGTAAGGGGTTGACAGGTAAGTATTGTCGGTCCCACACCGGCGCAGCAGCATAACAGAGCGGGTTCCGGGTAGAACGGTCCTGACGATGACAATTGGTTTTTAAAAATCCTTATATTAAGGTTCGCTTGCTTGCTTGCTTGCGTGCTTGCTTGCCTACGACCGTGCAAATCTTTCGGTCGTTTTTAACACCCACTTCCTGTAATCCAATCGAGCTGACATTTTTGCACACAGACTCGTTGTGCGTGACAATTATTTTCGTGAAAATTTTTTTCCAAATTTTACACTGTTTAGGGAAATTTTTTTTTATTACCAATGCTTAATGCTGGCAGACAATCATCTGACCCATAGGTGGCAGCCATCTCAAGCCAGAGGACGAGAGGACTCTAGCCGCCACGCATATATAGGATTTAGAGTGAAAAACTTTGTTTTTACGGGTTAATTTTTACCTTCTATCTGGCAACAAAACTGACACCTTTTTTTACAAGGAGTCATGTTTGCATAGACCACAATACCTGCAGTCATAATGCAAACAAAAACATAACTCTGATAATCTATTTGCACTGTCCCTTGAAGTTGATTGGTCCACACCCGAGACAGCTTTCCTTAGAGCATAGTCTCACCAGTCAACTTCAAGGACAGTGCATACATTATCAGAGTTATGTTTTTTGTTTGCATTATGACTGCAGTATTGTGGTCTATGCAAACATGACTCCTTGTAAAAAAAAGGTGTCAGTTTTGTTGCCAGATAGAGGGTAAAAAAACCAATTATATTTTTTACTGGCAAATGAGGTTCCAATGGGGTCCAGACGATGTCGCCGTTGCCCCTCGAGTGGAGCTGCGTTGAGATCCAGCGGCGGCCGCTTAACCTATTCAAGTTCATGTATTAGGTGTAGCCCTGTGAGCTATTCGGCTCTTGAATCGGGTGGCAACGGCAACAACAAAAAACAAAAACATGAACAAAATAACATCTTAAAGTGACTGTGACTGAGTGCAAACAGAAAATCCAAGAAAAGACAGCAAAATATTGCAGAAAAAGCACCGTGCACCAACGCTGTGTGCAAAAATCCCAGTGGGATGCAAGTCAAACAACAACCACAAGACAACTTAGATTAAGGCCATCAGTCTAACTCTATACTCCAACAAACAAACATGGCCAAACCGAAAAACTTTTCGAAAATCACCAAAATAAAGCCATGAAAGCAATGAAACGGTGGTCATACGACAACAGATTGTGAAGCTTCGTGTTCAGCCAGCCGCTCATATAAACGTTGCTTCTTCCGACCACTTCCACGTCACGAGAACCGATTTTGACACACCACCACCACCCTCAAGATTTTCCAGAGCCGGGGTTGCCAATCTTCCGGTGGGGAAAATAAATAAGAGTAGTGGGAAAACAAGTTCTATTTCTCTTTCACCAGTGGCAAAATATAGTAATAGGCTTTTACCCTTGCTTACCCCGAGCTCTCAATACTCTGATAGTGCATTGTCTTTGAGTTGTACGCCTTTTGGCGTCATCTGGTCCAACACCAATGGAGATTAGGCTCTAAGAAAAGCTGTCTCGGGTGTGGACCAATCAACTTCAAGGACAGTGCATATCATGATCATCATCAGAGTTGTTTCTTTTTGTTTGCATTTTGACTGCTTGTCTTGTGGTTATTGCAAACATGATGCCTTGTATAAAGGTGTCAGTTTTGTACCAGTTGAAAGGGTAAAAAACCTATTACTATATTTTGCCACTGGTAAAGGAGGTCTCATAGTGTAAATGCTTACCCTGAACTCTCAATACTCTGATAGTGCGCTGTCTTTGAGTTGTACGCCTTTTGGCGTCATCTGGTCCAACACCAATGGAGACTAGGCTCTAAGAAAAGCAAATTCTGGACCGGTTTGGACATTCCATTGGTTCGTCGGCTCCGCCTGAGCACGTGATACAACCGCAGTCGAGCAGCTGTGACTGACCTCCGAGCCACCTCGGCCCAGTACCAAGGAGCCCGCGTCACTATGAATGGAAAGTCACCGTTAAGCGCCATGTGTGGAGAATGTTGCTCATAGAATAACTGACTTAGCAACATGTCAGCCGGGGCGTCTCCTCCCTTACCAACACGTCAGCTTGGGGCGTCTCGTCCCTTACCAACATGTCAGCTGGGGCGTCTCGTCCCTTATCAACATGTCAGCCGGGTCGTCTCCTCCCTTACCACATGTCAGCTGGGGCGTCTCCTCCCTCACCAACATGTCAGCCGGGGCGTCTCCTCCCTTACCAACATGTCAGCCGGGGCGTCTCCTCCCTTGCCAACATGTCAGCCGGGGCGTCTCCCTTACCAACATGTCAGCCGGGGCGTCTCCCCTTACCAACATGTCAGCCGGGGCGTCTCTTCCTTAACCAACATGTCAGCCGGGGCATCTCCCTTACCAACATGTCAGCCGGGGCGTCACGTCCCTTACCAACATGTCAGCCGGGGCGTCACCCCCACCCCCTCGGCGTCGTAATCCGATTCGCCCCCTCTCGGCAGCGAGTGGCTGGCGCGTTGTGTGCAGAGTACAGTGCAACTCCTGCGACATGCGCCTGTGAGCATGTAGGCGCCCCACACTCGATCGCTCGCGGCACTTGCCCCAGCGAGCCGTCGTGGGGGGTCCCACACAGACACTGAGACACAGACGCACCCACTCAGAGTCACACACAGACACTGAGACACAGACGCACCCACTCAGAGTCACACACAGACACTGAGACACAGACGCATCCACTCAGAGTCACACACAGAGACACGCAGATGTCCTCACAGACACACATAAAGACACTCACATAAAGACACACAGACACACTCAGACACAGGTAGACACACACAGGTAGACACGCACACAGATACACATTCAAACACAGACATACACACAGACACACACTCACAGACACTCTCTCACAGACACTCACACAGACACACACACATACACTCTCTCACACACACACAGACACACACAGATACGCACACACATACACACACACACAGACACTCTCTCTCACACACACATACACACACACAGACACACACACACAGACACTCGCCCTCACACACAGACACACACTCACACACAGACACACACACACAGAGACACACACACACATACACACACACACAGACGCACACTCACACACAGACACACACACAGACACACAGACACTCACACACAGACACACACACACAGACACACACACACAGACACACACACAGACACTCACACACCGACACACACAGACACACACACACACAGACACACATACACACACAGACACACACAGACACACACACACTCTCTCACACACACTCTCACACACACAGACACACACACACGCGCCACGCTCGCGATGGGCAAGGCGGAGTCGCTGCGCGTGCTGCTGCACGGCGACCGCCTCGTCTACTACCCCGGGGACATCGTCTCGGGCGACGTCTCGTTCAGCCTCGGCGGGGCAGCCTCCTCCTGGCTCAGAGGTCTCTACTCCACCACCAACTCCACCAACAACTCCACCACCACCTCCACCACCAACTCCACCACCTCGCACCACCACCTCTGCACCACCACCACCACCACCTCGCACCACCACCACCACCACCTCGCACCACCACCACCTCGCACCACCACCTCGCACCACCACCCCTCAGCCTCATCATCCTCCTGTCTCTCCTGCTCACGTCTCTCCACCTCCACCACGTCAACCACCACCACCTCCACCTCACGTCTCTCCTCCACCACCTCCACCACCTCCACCTCCATCACCTCCACCTCCACCACCTCACCTGCTCACGTCTCTCCACCACTACCACCTCCACTTATCCTCCCAACTCCACCCTCTCACCACCCTCTCCCTCCCTCTCCCCACCATCTCCCCACCCACCCTCTCCCTCCCTCTCATCACCCCTCTCTCTCTCACCACCCTCTCCCCACCCTCCCCCACCCTCTCACCACCCTCTCACCACCCTCTCACCACCCCCTCTCACCACCCTCTCACCACCCTCTCACCACCCTCTCACCACCCTCTCACCACCCTCTCACCACCCTCTCACCACCCTCTCACCACCCTCTCACCACCCTCCTCACCACCCTCTCACCACCCTCTCACCACCCTCTCACCACCCTCTCACCACCCTCTCACCACCCTCTCACCACCCTCTCACCACCCTCTCACCACCCTCTCACCACCCTCTCACCACCCTCTCACCACCCTCTCACCACCCTCTCACCACCCTCTCACCACCCTCTCACCACCCTCTCACCACCCTCTCACCACCCTCTCACCACCCTCTCACCACCCTCTCACCACCCTCTCACCACCCTCTCACCACCCTCTCACCACCCTCCCCCTCCCTCTCATCACCCCTCTCTCTCTCACCACCCTCTCCCTCCCTCTCACCACCCTCTTACCACCCTCTTACCACCCTCCCCCACCCTCTCACCACCCTCTCACCACCCTCTCCCTCCCTCTCACCACCCTCTCACCACCCTCCCCCACCCTCTCCCTCCCTCTCACCACCCTCCCCCACCCTCTCACCTCCCTCTCACCACCCTCTCACCACCCTCTCCCACCCTCTCCCTCCCTCTCATCTCCCCTCTCTCTCTCACCACCCTCTCCCTCCCTCTCACCTCTGCAGCCTCTCAGCTGCTTTGACGCAATCGCGAACTGGTGAGTCACTGAATGTTGAAACTGGTCCAGAGTTTTCTAATCATCCCTGTGTGTGTGTGCGCGCGTGGGTGTGTGTGTGCGTGTGTGTACCCGTGCGTGTGTGTGTCCGTGCGTGCGTGTGCCCGTGTGTGTGTGTGTCCGTGTGTGTGTGTGCGTGTGTGTGCCCGTGCGTGTGTGTGTCCGTGCGTGTGTGTGCCCGTGCGTGTGTGTGCCCGTGCGTGTGTGTGCTCGTGCGTGTGTGTGTGTGTCCGTGTGTGAGTGTGTGTCCGTGTGTGTGTGCCCGTCCGTGCATGTGTGTCCGTCCGTGCATGTGTGTGTCCCTGCGTGTTTGTCCGTGCGTGTGTGTGCGTGTGTGTGTGTGCGTGTTCGTGTGTGTCCCTGCGTGTGTGTGTGTGTCCGTGCGTGTCCGTGTGTGTGTCCCTCTGTGTGTCCGCGGGGCCCCCCACCACCCGACCCGGGGCCCCCCAGCCGTGCACGCCAAGTGCGTGGGCCGCTGCCAGGTGAGCCAGAAGGGGGGGGGCTCCTCATCCGAGCCGGAGGCAACGGAGCAGTACGTGCGCCTCGCGCTGCTGCTGTGGAAGAAAGGTAACGTGGAGTGGGCACACGGGGGGGGGGGCACTCCCCCACTCCCTGCCCCCCACTCCCTGCCCCCCACTCACTGCCCCCGCTGGCGGACTCAACTGCACAACAAAAACAACAACCACAACAACAACAAGAGGCATTTTTTTCGAATTCGGTCAAGAAATGAAAGGGCACTGCTTAGGAATGCCACGCAGGCCAATAACGGGGAAGGTGGTTGTGGTGGTGGTGGTGGCGGCGGTGGTGGCGGTGGTGGTGGTGGTGGCGGCGGCGGTGGTGGCGGTGTTGGTGGTGGTGGGGGTGATGGTGGTGATGGTGGTGGCGGTGGTGGTGGCGGTGGTGGTGGCGGTGATGGTGGCGGTGTTGGTGGTGGTGGCGGCGGTGATGGAGGTGGCGGCGTTGGTGGCGGTGGTGGTGGTGGCGGTGGCCCGTGACGTCTCCGCTAGGTGGGGCTGTTGTGAGTGACCTCTGACAATCTGGAGTTGTCATCAAGAGAAGAACCTCCTAAATTCGCTCGCTCACTCACTCGGTCACAAATTAAATTATTTAATTTAATTTATTATTTTATCTTTAGACGTGACTTAACCAAAAGAACCAAATAATAATTCCTGCAGTCACGAAAGTTCTAAAATTAAGAAAGAACCTCCTCGTGGTTCTTGACCTTCCCGTGAAAGCGACGTCACCGTCTTGTCTACCAACGATGGGCGTTCATCAACGATACGACAACGAGCGATGGTCCGGCACCGGTTGAGATGCACAACCACCACCCCCTGGCCTGGCTCGCTCTGGCTCGCTCGCGTGGCTCTGGCTCGCTCTGGCTCGCTCGCGTGGCTCGGGGCGCCGTTGACCCGCGCGGTTTCCCTGTTTTCCAGACTCGTCAGGAGCACTGGGCTCCGGCAACCACTCCTTCACCTTCCACTTCCCCCTGCCCAGTGAGCCGGCCGCACCGCTCGCCCTCACTCGCTCGCTCACTCGCTCACTCACTCGCTCACTGGCTCACTCACTCACTCACTGGCTCGCTCACTCGCTCGCTCACTCACTCACTGGCTCGCTCACTCACTCGCTCACTCACTCACTGGCTCACTCACTGGCTCACTCGCTCACTCACTCACTCGCTCGCTCACTCGCTCACTCACTCACTCGCTCGCTCACTCACTCACTCGCTCACTCGCTCGCTCACTCACTCACTCACTCACTCGCTCGCTCACTCACTCGCTCACTCACTCGCTCACTCGCTCACTCACTCGCTCGCTCACTCGCTCACTCGCTCGCTCACTCACTCACTCACTGGCTCACTCACTCACTCGCTCACTCACTGGCTCACTCACTCACTCGCTCACTCGGTACCACACTGACTCGTTCACTCACTCACTGGCTCACTCGCTCACTCACTCGCTCCCGCACCGACTCGTTCACTCACTCACTCGCTCACTCATTCGGTACCACACCGACTCGTTCACTCACTCACTCACTCACTCGCTTGCTTCCTCACTCGCTCACTCATTCGCTCACTCACTGGCTCACTCGCTCCCACACTGACTCGTTCACTCGTTCACTCACTCGCTCAATCGCTCACTACCACACTTGCTAACTAATTCACTCACTCGCTCAATCGCTCGCTCCCGCACTCGCTCACTCGCTCGCTCACTGGCTCACTCACTCGCTCACTCACTACCACACCGACTCGTTCACTCACTCGCTCAATCTCTCGCTCCCGCACTCGTTCACTCAATCACTCGTTCACTCACTCGCTCCCACACTTGGTCATTCACCCGCCCGCTCGCCCGCTCACTCTCGTCTGCCCCCGTCTCCCCCCACCCCCACTCTCCCCACCCCCACTCCCCCCACCCCCACTCCCCCCACTCCCCATTCCCCCCGTGCCCGCCCAGTGTCGGTGCCGACGTCGTTTGAGGGCCGCTTTGGGCGCGTGGAGTACTCGGTGCAGGCCGTGCTGGAGGCGGCGTGGTACCGCGCCGACCAGAGCGCCCGCACACCCCTCTACGTGCTCAACCCCCTCGACCTCAACCTGCTGCCCGACTGCCGCGTCAGTCCCCGCCACCGCCACCATCACCATCACCGCCATCACTATCACCATCACCGCCATCACTACCACCATCACCGCCACCACCATCACCATCGCCATCACCATCACTACCACCATCACCATCACTACCACCATCACTACCGCCATCACCATCACTACCACCATCACTACCACCATCACCGCCATCACCATCACTACCATCATCACTACCACCATCACTACCATCACTACCGCCATCACTACCGCCATTACTACCACCATCACTACCATCACCGCCATCACCGCCATCGTCACCGCAGACATCGCCACCGCAGCCGCCACCATCACCACCACCATCACCGCCATCACCACCACCATCACCGCCATCACCACCATCACTACCACCATCACCGCCATCACCACCATCACTACCACCATCACCGCCATCACTACCACCATCACCGCCATCACTACCACCACCACCGCCATCACCATCACCGCCACCACTACCACCATCGCCATCACTACCACCATCACCGCCATCACTACCACCATCACCACCACCGTCGTCACCACTGCCATCACTACCACCATCACCGCCATCACTACCACCATCACCGCCATCACTACCACCATCGCCATCACCATCACTACCACCATCACCATCACTACCACCATCACTACCGCCATCACCATCACTACCACCATCACTACCACCATCACCGCCATCACCATCACTACCATCATCACTACCACCATCACTACCATCACTACCGCCATCACTACCGCCATTACTACCACCATCACTACCATCACCGCCATCACCGCCATCGTCACCGCAGACATCGCCACCGCAGCCGCCACCATCACCACCACCATCACCGCCATCACCACCACCATCACCGCCATCACCCGCCATCACTACCACCATCACCGCCATCACCACCATCACTACCACCATCACCGCCATCACTACCACCATCACCGCCATCACTACCACCACCACCGCCATCACCATCACCGCCACCACTACCACCATCGCCATCACTACCACCATCACCGCCATCACTACCACCATCACCACCACCGTCGTCACCACTGCCATCACTACCACCATCACCGCCATCACTACCACCATCACCGCCATCACTACCACCATCACCATCGGCATCACTACCACCATCGCCACCACCATCACTACCACCATCGCCATCACTACCACCATCGCCATCATCACCACCATCACCATCGCCATCACTACCGCCATCGCCATCGTCACCACCACTGCCATCGCCATCAAAGCGACAGTGATAGGATCACAGAGCTCGGGCGATTTGATGTGCAAGTCTCTGTGTGAGTCTGTGGGTCTCTCTGTGTGGTGAGTCTGTGGGTCTCTGTGTGGTGAGTCTGTGGGTCTCTCTGTGTGGTGAGTCTGTGGGTCTCTGTGTGATGAGTCTGTGGGTCTCTGTGTGAGTCTGTGGGTCTCTGTGTGATGAGTCTGTGGGTCTCTGTGTGGTGAGTCTGTGGGTCTCTGTGTGAGTCTGTGGGTCTCTGTGTGAGTCTGTGGGTCTCTGTGTAGTGAGTCTGTGGGTCTCTGTGTGGTGAGTCTGTGGGTCTCTCTGTGTGGTGAGTCTGTGGGTCTCTGTGTGATGAGTCTGTGGGTCTTTGTGTGATGAGTCTGTGGGTCTCTGTGTGGTGAGTCTGTGGGTCTCTGTGTGGTGAGTCTGTGGGTCTCTGTGTGGCGAGTCTGTGGGTCTCTGTGTGATGAGTCTATGGGTCTCTATCATGAGTCTATGGGTCTGTGTGGTGAGTCTGTGGGTCTCTGTGTGGTGAGTCTGTGGGTCTCTGTGTGGCGAGTCTGTGGGTCTCTGTGTGGTGAGTTTGTGGGTCTCTGTGTGGTAAGTCTGTGGGTCTCTGTTTGGCGAGTCTGTGGGTCTCTGTGTGGTGAGTCTATGGGTCTCTCTGTGTGGTGAGTCTGTGGGTCTCTGTGTGGTGAGTCTGTGGGTCTCTGTGTGGTGAGTCTGTGGGTCTCTGTGTGATGAGTCTGTGGGTCTCTGTGTGATGAGTCTGTGGGTCTCTGTGTGGTGAGTCTGTGGGTCTCTGTGTGATGAGTCTGTGGGTCTCTGTGTGGTGAGTCTGTGGGTCTCTGTGTGGTGAGTCTGTGGGTCTCTGTGTGTGAGTCTGTGGGTCTCTGTGTGGTGAGTCTATGGGTCTCTGTGTGGTGAGTCTATGGGTCTCTGTGTGGTGAGTCTGTGGGTCTCTGTGTGGTGTGTCTGTGGGTCTCTGTGTGGTGAGTCTGTGGGTCTCTGTGTGAGTGGTGAGTCTGTGGATTTCTGTGTGGTGAGTCTGTGGGTCTCTGTGTGGTGAGTCTGTGGATCTCTGTGTGGTGAGTCTGTGGGTCTCTGTGTGAGTCTGTGGGTCTCTCTGTGATGAGTCTGTGGGTCTCTGTGTGGTGAGTCTGTGGGTCTCTGTGTGGTGAGTCTGTGGGTCTCTGTGTGAGTCTGTGGGTCTCTGTGTGGTGAGTCTGTGGGTCTGTGTATGGTGAGTCTGTGGGTCTCTGTGTGGTGAGTCTGTGGGTCTCTGTGTGTGATGAGTCTGTGGGTCTCTGTGTGGTGAGTCTGTGGGTCTCTGTGTGATGAGTATGTGGGTCTCTGTGTGATGAGTCTGTGGGTCTCTGTGTGGGGAGTCTGTGGGTCTCTGTGTGATGAGTCTGTGGGTCTCTGTGTGACGAGGCTATGGGTCTCTGTGTGATGAGTCTATGGGTCTCTATCATGAGTCTATGGGTCTGTGTGATGAGTCTATGGGTCTGTGTGATGAGTCTTTGGGTCTGTGTGATGAGTCTATGGGTGTCTATTATGAGTTTATGGGTCTCTATGATGAGTCTATGGGTCTCTATGATGAGTCTATGGGTCTCTGTGCGAGTCTATGACTCTCTGTGTGAGTCTATGTGTCTCTATGATGAGTCTATGGGTCTATCTGTGTGTGATGAGTCTATGGGTCTCTGTGTGAGTCTATGGGTCTATCTGTGTGTGATGAGTCTATGGGTCTCTATGATGAGTCTACGGGTCTCTGTGTGAGTCTATGGGTCTCTGTGTTAGTCTATGGGTCTATCTGTGTGTGATGAGTCTATGGGTCTCTGTGTGATGAGTCTATGGGTCTCTGTGTGATGAGTCTATGGGTCTCTGTGTGATGAGTCTACGTGTCTCTACGCTGAGTCTATAGGTCTCTGTGTGAGTCTATGGCTCTCTGTGTGAGTCTATGGGTTTCTATGATGAGTCTACGGGTCTCTGTGTGAGTCTATGGGTCTCTGTGTGAGTCTATGGGTCTCTGTGTGAGTCTATGGATCTCTATGTGAGTCTATGTGTCTCTGTGAGTCTGTGGCTCTCTGTGTGAGTCTACGGGTCTCTATGATGAGTCTATGGGTCTCTGTGTGAGTCTATGGGTCTCTGTGTGAGTCTATGGCTCTCTGTGTGAGTCTATGGCTCTCTGTGTGCCCGCCCCCGTTGCGGCTGGCAGTGCCCGTCCGTGGTGGAGGTGCAGAAGAAGGTGAACTACTCGCTCTTCAAGAGCGCCACGGTCACGCTGGCCGTGAGCTCCGACCTGCGGGGCTACGTGCCGGGCCAGGTCATCCACCTCACCTGCCTCATCAACAACGGCACCGGCAAAAGCGTCTCCGGCATCACCGCGACCCTTGTGCAGGTGGGGCGGGGGGGGGGGGGTGACCCCGGGCACCGGTGCCAGGCTTACCGATGCCGTGCGTGGTCAACGTCCCCACCGGGGTGGGCGGGGAGAGACAGGGCCGGGCGGGCGGGCCGTACGTGCTCTGCCCACGCACAACGCTCCTTCGTAGGCGCGGAACGCTCTGTTGAAGGCTACACCGTCCGTGCGTGTGTGTGTCTGCGTGTGTGTGTTGTGTTGTGTCTGCGTGTGTGTGTGTGCGTATGTGTGTGTCTGCGTGCACGTGTGCGTGCGTGTGTGCGTGTGTGCGTGTGCGCGTGTGCGTGTGTGAGTGTGTGTGTGCGTGTGTTGGTGTGTGTGCGCGTGTGCGTGTGTGTCTGCGTGTCTGCGCGTGTGTCTGCGTGTGTGTGCGTGTGTGTGGGTGCGTGTGCGCGTGTGCGCGTGTGAGTGTGTGTGTGCGTGTGTTGGTGTGTGCGTGCGTGCGTGCGTTCGTGTGTGCGTGCGTGTGTCTGCGTGTGTGTGCGTGCGTGTGTGTGTGTGTGCGCGTGCGTGCGTGTGCGTGTGTGCGTGCGTGCGTGTGTGCGTGTGCGTAGAAGGTGACGTTCCGCGGGCGCTGCGTGATGTACGACATGCGCACGCTGGCGCAGCTGGAGGGCGGCTCGGTGGGGGCGCGCCAGCAGGCGCAGTGGCTGGAGCGCATCGCGCTGCCGCCGCTGCCGCAGTCGCAGCTCTTCCTGTGCCACCTCATCGACGTCGACTACTTCGTCCAGGTACCGCCCCCCTCCCCCATAACCCCACTCCTCTCCCGGCGACGATCTTTTTTTTTTCCACCGCCACATCCGACCCGGCCCGGATGCGGCGCGGGTCGTCTTTTTCCACCGCCTCATCTGAGCCGAGCCGGCCCGGATCCGGCGCGAGTCTTTTTCCACCGCCTCATCTGAGCCGAGCCGGCCCGAATGCGGCACGGGTCGTCTTTTTCCACCGCCACATCCGAGCCGAGCCGGCCCAGATGCGGCGCGGGTCGTCTTTTTCCACCGCCACATCCGAGCCGACCCGCCTTTGCCTCCCTCCCCCGTCCCCGCAGGTGGCGATCCGCAGCATCGGCGTGGCGGCCACGCTGCCCATCGTGGTGGGGAACGTGCCGGTGCTGCGCTCCCTGGGGCCCGGGCCCGCCACGGCGCTCACGCCCACCGCACCGCCCCTGCCGCCACCCACGGCGGTCGGCTATGGCGGCGGCGGTGGTGGTGGAGACGGGCGGCTGTACGGTGAGACGCCGACACTCAGCCGTGTGTCACCCTGTGTGTGTGTCGCCCTGTGTGTGTGTCACCCTGTGTGTGTGTGTCGCCCTGTGTGTGTGTCACCCTGTGTGTGTGTGTCACCCTGTGTGTGTGTGTCACCCTGTGTGTGTGTGTCGCCCTGTGTGTGTGTCACCCTGTGTGTGTGTGTGTCGCCCTGTGTGTGTGTCACCCTGTGTGTGTGTGTCACCCTGTGTGTGTGTGTCGCCCTGTGTGTGTGTGTCACCCTGTGTGTGTGTGTCACCCTGTGTGTGTGTCGCCCTGTGTGTGTGTCACCCTGTGTGTGTGTGTCACCCTGTGTGTGTGTGTCGCCCTGTGTGTGTGTGTCACCCTGTGTGTGTGTCGCCCTGTGTGTGTGTGTCACCCTGTGTGTGTGTCACCCTGTGTGTGTGTCACCCTGTGTGTGTGTGTCGCCCTGTGTGTGTGTGTCACCCTGTGTGTGTGTGTCGCCCTGTGTGTGTGTCACCCTGTGTGTGTGTGTCACCCTGTGTGTGTGTGTCACCCTGTGTGTGTGTCACCCTGTGTGTGTGTCACCCTATGTGTGTGTGTCACCCTGTATGTGTGTCACCCTGTGTGTGTGTCACCCCGTGTGTGTGTGTCGCCCTGTGTGTGTGTCACCCTGTGTGTGTGTGTCACCCTGTGTGTGTGTGTCACCCTGTGTGTGTGTCACCCTGTGTGTGTGTCACCCTGTGTGTGTGTCACCCCGTGTGTGTGTGTCACCCTGTGTGTGTGTCACCCTGTGTGTGTGTGTCACCCTGTGTGTGTGTGTCACCCTGTGTGTGTGTCACCCTGTGTGTGTGTCACCCTATGTGTGTGTCACCCTATGTGTGTGTCACCCTGTGTGTGTGTCACCCTGTGTGTGTGTCACCCTGTGTGTGTGTCACCCCGTGTGTGTGTGTCACCCTGTGTGTGTCACCCTGTGTGTGTGTCACCCTGACCCCGTGTGTATCACCCTGTGTGTGTGTCACCCTGACCCCGTACACCACGCTCACCGCACACCACGCTCACCACACCGCGCTCACCACAATCACCGCTCACCGCGCTCACCACCGCGCTCACCACACCACGCTCACCACACTCACCGCGCTCACCCCCTCCCCCCTCGCCGCCCCCTCCCCCCACCCCGTGCCGTAGAGGCCTCTGCGACCGCTCTGCCCACCAAGCTGCACTCGCAGCTGCAGGACGGACGCTACTTCCCCACGCCCACGCACGCCGGCGTTGACGCCGACACCGCCGGTGCCAGCGGCGGTGCCTTAGCCCCCCTGGCACCGGTCCCCCCGGCGTCGCCGTTTGGTGTTGGCGCCCCTCAGCTTTGCCTGGCGCCGGGGGAGACGGTGCCGTTCTTCAGCGGCGGCGCTGCCGGTGCCGCCGCTGGCGCCGCCGCCGCCTCGTCCCATCATCCTTTGCTGCTTCCTCCCGAGTTCAGTGCCGCCCTCTTTCCCTACGGTGAGTGGAGGGCGGCTGGGGGGATGTGTGTGCGTGTGTGTGTATGCGTGCGTGTGTGTGTATGCGTGCGTGTGTGTGTATGCGTGCGTGTGTGTGTATGCGTGCGTGTGTGCGTGTGTGTGCGCGCGTGTGTGTGCGCGTGTGTGTGTGCGCGTGTGTGTGCGTGTGTGTGTGTATACGTGCGTGTGTGCGTGCGTGTGTGTGTGCGCGTGTGTGTGCGTGTGTGTGTGTGTGCGCGTATGTGTGTGTGCGTGCGTGTGTGTGCGTGTGTGTGCGTGCATGGGTGCTTGCGTGTGTGTGCGTGTGTGTGTATGTGTGTGTACGTGTGTCTGTCTCTGTGTCTGTCTCTCTGTCTCCGTGTCTGTGTCTGTCTCTGTCTGTCTGTCTCTGTGTCTCTGTCTCTCTGTCTCTGTGTCTGTCTCTGTCTGTCTGTCTCTGTGTCTCTGTGTCTGTCTCCGTGTCTGTCCCTGTGTCTATCTCTGTGTCTGTGTCTGTCTCTGTGTCTGTCTCTGCGTCTGTCTCTGTGTCTGTCTCTGCTCTGTGTCTGTCTTTGTGTCTGTCTCTGTGTCTATCTCCGACTGCTGTGTCTCTGTCTCTGTGTCTGTGTCTATATCTGTGTCTCTGTGTCTATATCTGTGTCTCCGTGTCTCCGTGTCTATCTCCGGCTGCCGTGTCTCTGTCTCTGTGTCTATATCTGTGTCTCCGTGTCTCTGTCTCTGTCTCTGTGTCTATATCTGTGTCTCCGTGTCTCTGTGTCTGTCTCTGTGTCTCCGTGTCTCTATCTCTGTGTCTATATCTGTGTCTCTGTGTCTATATCTGTGTCTCCGTGTCTCTGTGTCTGTCTCTGTGTCTCCGTGTCTCTCCGCACCCCCAGACCCGCCGCCTTCCTACGAAGAGAGCTGTCAGGCGGCGAGCGGCGACGGCGCACAGATGGACGCGGCCCCCCCCGACCCTCGCCAAGGCGGCAGCGGCGCCGGGGGGCCAGGGGCCCCCTGCGGGGAGTGAGGGGGGCCCCACCCCCCACCGCCACTGCCACTGGGGGTCCCCTAGGCAGAAAGACGCTGGCGGAGTGCACGGGGGGTGGGGTGCAAGGCGCTGCGGCTCGCAAGCGAGCGCCACTGGGCACGCACGCACCACACCACCACCAGCACCACGACCCATGGCTCTCTGTGTGGGTCTGTGGGTCTCTGTGTGAGTCTGTGGGTCTCTGTGTGAGTCTGTGGGTCTCTGTGTGAGTCTACGTGTCTCTGTGTGAGTCTGTGGGTTTCTGTGCGAGTCTGTGGGTCTCTGTGTGAGTCTGTGACTCCGTGTGAGTCTGTGGGTCTCCGTGTGAGTCTGTGGGTCTCTGTGTGAGTCTGTGGGTCTCTGTGTGAGTCTGTGGGTCTCTGTGTGAGTCTGTGACTCTCTGTGTGAGTCTGTGGGTCTCTGTGTTAGTCTGTGGGTCTCTGTGTGAGTCTGTGACTCCGTGTGAGTCTGTGGGTCTCCGTGTGAGTCTGTGGGTCTCTGTGTGAGTCTGTCGGTCTCTGTGTGAGTCTGTGGGTCTCTGTGTGAGTCTGTGGGTCTCTGTGTGAGTCTGTGACTCCGTGTGAGTCTGTGGGTCTCTGTGTGAGTCTGTGGGTCTCTGTGTGAGTCTGTGGGTCTCTGTGTGAGTCTGTGACTCTCTGTGTGAGTCTGTGGGTCTCTGTGTGAGTCTGTGGGTCTCTGTGTGAGTCTGTGACTCCGTGTGAGTCTGTGGGTCTCCGTGTGAGTCTGTGGGTCTCTGTGTGAGTCTGTGGGTCTCTGTGTGAGTCTGTGGGTCTCTGTGTGAGTCTGTGGGTCTCTGTGTGAGTCTGTGACTCTCTGTGTGAGTCTGTGGGTCTCTGTGTGAGTCTGTGGGTCTCTGTGTGAGTCTGTGACTCCGTGTGAGTCTGTGGGTCTCCGTGTGAGTCTGTGGGTCTCTGTGTGAGTCTGTGGGTCTCTGTGTGAGTCTGTGGGTCTCTGTGTGAGTCTGTGGGTCTCTGTGTGAGTCTGTGACTCTCTGTGTGAGTCTGTGGGTCTTTGTGTGAGTCTGTGGGTCTCTGTGTGAGTCTGTGACTCCGTGTGAGTCTGTGGGTCTCTGTGTGAGTCTGTGACTCTCTGTGTGAGTCCGTGACTCTCCGTGTGAGTCTGTGGCTGTCAGGCGATGAGTCTGTGGCTCTCTGCACGAGTCCTACGTGTCTGTACATCACGTGTAGGTCTGTGAGTTTCGACGTGAACGTGTGCGCCTTTGTGTTCAGTACGCCTGGTGTTGCGTGCAGCCTTGTGCCGCACAGGGACAGCTGCCACTGGTGGGGGGGGGGGGGTCCCCTAGGCTTAGAAGCAGCAGCAGCACGGTCAAGATGCGGGCGCGGAGTAGAACATCGACAACCGGGAGAGGCAAAGGCGGACGCCCCCGACCCCGGCTGGTGCGTCACAGCGTGCCGGCCTTCGTAGCCGCCGCCGCCGCCACCGCCAGCGACTCGCTACGAGCAGCACTTGCCCCAAGTGTCGCTCGGAGGCGGCGCGCGGGAACCTTTGTCTGCCTCGCGTGCGCCGTCGTGCACCGGCGCGCGCCGGCGTGCGAAGCCGGATCCGCGGCGTGTAACGACGACGCTTCACTTTGTCGTTTTTGTTTTCCTTTTTAATTTTAGTTGTTGATGTTGTTGTTCGGGTAACTCTGCGCGACTCGCAAGAGCGTCGTCATGGCGACAGGCACGGGCGCGACGCGTCGTCACGGCGACAGGCACGGGCGCGACGCGTCGTCACGGCGACAGGCTCGGGTGTGACGCGTGACGCCGATGGTGGCGGCCCGTGGCGTTGGCGGCGGTTGTGACGCTATCGAGCACCGCTAGCACGCGGTAAGGGGTCATCCATTGAGTCCGTGCACATGGGGGGGGTTGACCCAAACGCGTTCGCTTGCCACTACCACCACTACCGCTACTACCACCACTACCACTACCACCACTACTACCACCACTACTACCCCACCACTACCACCGCTACTACCGCTACTACCACCACCACTACCACCACTACTACCACTACTACCACTACTACTACCCCACCACTACCACCGCCACTACCACCACGACCACCACTACCACCACTACTACCACCGCTACCACCGCCACTACCACCACAACCACTACCACCACTACCACCACCACCACCACCACTACCACCACCACTACCACCACTACTACTACCACCACTACCACCACCACTACCACCACCACTACCACTACTACCACCACAACCACTACCACCACCACTACCACCACCACTACCACCACAACCACTACCACCACTACCACCACCACTACCATCACCACTACCACCACCACGACCACCACAACCACTACCACCACCACTACCACCACCACTACCACCACCACCACCACTAGTCCACCACCACTACAACCACCACTACTACCACCACTACCACCACCACTCGACCACCACCACTACCACCACTACCACCACTACCACAACCACTACCACCACTACCACCACTACCACCACCACCACCACTACCACCACTACTACCACCACCACTACTACCACAACCACTACCACCACAACCACTACCACCACTACCACCACCACTACTACCACCACTACCACAACCACTACCACTACTACCACCACTACCACAACCACTACCACCACTACCACTACTACCACACACACTACTACCACCACTACCACACACACTACCACCACCACTACCACCACCACCACCACTACCACCACTACTACCACTACTAGTCCACCACCACCACTACCACCACTACCACCACCACTATCACCACCACCACTACCACCACTACCACCACTACCACCACTACCGTCGACGTCGTCAACACCACCACCACTACCACCACCACCACTACCACCACCACCACTACCACCACTACCACCACCACTACCACCACCACCACTACCACCACCACTACCACCACCACTACCACCACCACTACCACCACTACCACCACCACTACCACCACCACTGCCGTTGGCGTCGTCACCACCGCGGTCATCAGCGACTGTGGCTCTTGTAGAGAGTGCCGGGGGGGGCCGGGGGGAGATGGGGGGCCGGAGGGGGGGCAGGGGGGGCAGGGGGGGGGGCCGTGTGTGTGCGCTGCACTTTATGAATGTAAGTTTAGCGGAACAGAAAGTGTGCCGCTTGCCACGGGCTGCACAATGTAGAAATATAAAATCCATGTTTATGTGTAGTGTGTATATACACAGTATAATACATGTTTATATATTAAATACATGTTTATGTGTAGTGTGTATACACAGTATAATACATGTTTATATATAAAATCCATGTTTATGTGTAGTGTGTATATACACAGTATAATACATGTTTATATATAAAATACATGTTTATATGTAGTGTACAATGCACAGAAAATACATTGCATATATAATGCATATTTGTATCTATACATGTACACATGATATAACATTGTATATTGCATTGTATATCTACAATTTAACATACAATATGAATGTTTATACAATGCGTATGTAGATTAAAGTAGAACCCCTCTTGATGACTAATCGATTACCGACCATTCCCCTGTTAACGACAGGGGCGGTTGTAGCGACGGTAAACTTGTATCGATTAAATCGTTTCGATGTAAAGCTTTCGTGACTGCAGGGATTCATCTTCTTGGTTCTTTCGGTAAAGTCACGTAGAAGGGAAGTAATAAAATAATAAAAAGAAAACAATATTTTATTTTATTATGTTTTATTTTTATTATTTTATTACTTCCCTTCTACGTGACTTTATCGAAAGAACCAAGAAGATTAAATCGTTGTTTATTTTACTACGATGCTTCTCTATGATGTCGTCGGCATTTTTACGCGTTAATGCGAGTTGTTTTTAAATCCTTTATATTAAGTTCGCTTGCTTGCTTAGGACTGTGCAAATCTTTCGGTCGTTTTTTAACCCACTTCCCGTGATCCAATCGAGCTGACATTTTGCACACAGACTCGTTGTGCGAGACAATTAATGTTCGTGAAAAAAAATTCAAAAATTTTACACTTTTTAGGACAAAAATATTATATTTAATTTCCAATTGCTTAATGGTGCAATGCAATCATCTGACCCATAGGTGGCAGTCATCTCAAGCCAGAGGACGAGAGGACTCTAGCCGCCACGCATATAAAGGATTTATAGTGAAAAACTTTGTTATTACGGGTTATACTTGTTAACATCGCAAAGTACTGCTTAGTGGGTGAATGAATGAAGTCTTGGGCGTGTGTTTCCCAGACTCGATGGACCACCAGTTCCTTGGAACAAATTGACGTCGTTAAGAGGAGTTCTGCTGTATACGTAATGTTTATATACATTACATATACAATGTGTATAAACATAATGTTTATACACATTATATAGACGAAAATTGCTTTGGACTAATCTCCATCTGTTCCATCTCACTCCCTTCTACACCGTGTGTGGACTAATCTCCATCTGTTCCATCTCACTCCATTCTAGCACTATGTGTGGACTAATCTCCATCTGTTCCATCTCATTCCCTTCTAGCACCATGTGTGGACTAATCTCCATCTGTTCCATCTCACTCCCTTCTAGCACTATGTGTGGACTAATCTCCATCTGTTCCATCTCACTCCCTGCTACCCCTGTGTGGACTAATCTCCATCTGTTCCATCTCACTCCCTGCTACCCCTGTGTGGACTAATCTCCATCTGTTCCATCTCACTCCCTTCTACCCGTGTGTGGACTAATCTCTATCTGTTCCATCTCACTCCCTTCTATACCGTGTGTGGACTAATTTCCATCTGTTCCATCTCACTCCCTTCTACACCGTGTGTGGACTAATCTCCATCTGTTCCATCTCACTCTCTTCTACACCGTGTGTGTGGACTAATCTCCATCTGTTCCATCTCACTCCCTTCTACACCGTGTGTGTGGACTAATCTCCATCTGTTCCATCTCACTCCCTTCTACCCGTGTGTGGACTAATCTCTATCTGTTCCATCTCACTCCCTTCTATACCGTGTGTGGACTAATCTCCATCTGTTCCATCTGCGTTGTTATCCGGGTTTTACGCTCGTGTGAAACACGCTCCGTGCCGTTGGCTGGAGACATCTTCATCAGCGGAGGACGGCAGAACTTGGGCAACTGTCGGCGCTGCCTCTCCATCTCCGCCCGTCCGCAGCTACTCCTGGCGATGTCGAGAGAGATGGCGATTTGAAACGAATGCCAACACCACCGCCACCACCACCACCAACGCCACAACTGCCGCCACCACCTCTGCCACCGCCACCACCGCCACCACCACCACCTCTGCCACCACCACCGCTACCGCCACCACCACTGCCACCGGGGAGAGAGAGAAAGTAAACACTCTTAAAGAAAATAACAACAACGGGACTACCACCGTTATCACTACCACTATCACTACCCCCTACCACTATCACTACCCCTACCACTATAACTACCACTACCTCTACCACTACCTCTACCACTATCACTATTACCACCCCTACCCCTACCACTATTACCACCCCTACCACTATAGCTACCACTATCACTACCCCTACCACTATTACCACCCATATCACTACCCCTACCACCACCACCACCAGTGCTGGGGTAGAACGTGGGGGACACCCTCACTGGAGCCCCCCCCCCCCCCCCAGTGCCGGATGAAGCGAGTGCAGGACCTGTAGCATTTGTTGTTATAAAGGGGCCCTCAATGAAAAAAACACAAAAAATCTAAACACGCAAATGTTTTACTTGCCCAGTAAAGTAATTGTATGTTTTCATTTGCTACACAGCCAGATAATGACAGATCGCTACCCTTAAACACCCGGTCGGTCGTAAAAGTTGAAGGCGGTATAGTACTATAGTAATAGAGCAAGTGCAGAATCACTGAACCGGAATTGATAGCTTTAAAGCATTTAGCGCTGGGCCCTTGAAAGTGCGTGTGTAGCTACTACATATGTAACTACTACACATGTAGTAGTAGCTGCACATGTAGTAACTACTACTACACGTAGTAGCTACTACACGTGTAGTAGCTACTACTTATGTAGTAGCTACTACTTATGTAGTAGGAGCTGCACATGTAGTAGTAGCTGCTACACCATGTGTAGCTACTACTTATGTAGTAGCTACACATGTTGTAGTAGCTGCACATGTAGTAGTAGCTACTACACATGTAGTAGTAGCTGCACGTGTAGTAGTAGCTACTACACGTGTAGCTACTACTTATGTAGTAGCTACACATGTTGTAGTAGCTGCACATGTAGTAGTAGCTACTACACGTGTAGTAGCTACTACACGTGTAGTAGCTACTACACATGTAGTAGTAGCTGCACGTGTAGTAGTAGCTACTACACGTGTAGCTACTACTTATGTAGTAGCTACACATGTTGTAGTAGCTGCACATGTAGTAGTAGCTACTACACGCGTAGTAGCTACTACTTATGTAGTAGCTGCTACACGTGTAGTAGGAGCTGCACATGTAGTAGTAGCTACTACTTATGTAGTAGCTACTACACATGTAGTAGTAGCTACTACACGTGTAGCTACTACTACATATGTAGTAGCTACACATGTTGTAGTAACTGCACATCTAGTAGTAGCTACTACACGTGTAGCTACTACACATGTAGTAGCTACACATGTTGTAGTAGCTGCACATCTAGTAGTAGCTACTACACGTGTAGCTACTACACATGTAGTAGCTACACATGTTGTAGTAGCTGCACATCTAGTAGTAGCTACTACATGTGTAGCTACTACTACACGTGTAGTAGTGTAGTAGCTACTACACGTGTAGTAGTAGCTACACATGTAGTAGCTACTACTACACGTGTAGTAGTGTAGTAGCTACTACACGTGTAGTAGCTACTACTTATGTATACTACTTATGTAGTAGCTGCACATGTAGTAGTAGCTACTACATGTGTAGCTACTACTACACGTGTAGCTACTACACACGCGTGCTCCTGGGATAATAAGACATTGCCTACCCACACTGTTCAAGTTAAAGTGTCGGAGGTTATAGCCTCGGATGGGTGCGATGTACATAGAGCGTCTGCAATGATTTTATTGTGTCCGCTTGTACATATTTTTTGGATGAACACTTGATTTATTAAATAAAGTATTCACTATATACAATGACACTTTTGGAGTCGGTGTAAGTCTATGGGTCCCTTAAATGCATGGTGTATCTTGTAAGTCTGTGGGTCTCTGTGCATATATGTGTAACGGGTTCCGGAGACACTTGTAGAGGTAACTTCTTTATTACAATACAACACTCCAACAGTACTCCAACAGTCCAACACTCCAACTCTCCAACACTCCTGATACTCTGTTACAGCCTAGGTACACAGCCTAGGTACACAGCCTAGATACACTCCTCTGGCTACGCTCTGGAACTCGCCCTCACAAGGTCGTAGAGTCGGGAGTTCCAGAGTCCCACCACTGGCCCTCACAGCGTCCCAGGGTCCTCACATGGCTGGTCTTGGGTCTTGGGTCTTGAGCTACAACTGGCCATGATCGTCCAGGGAGCTCCCCTTTTATGCCTAGTCCCCAACGAGGGGTGGGGCCGTGTGCGCCCCCAGATATCCCACAGAGCACACACAGCCCCCCCCCCCCTTTGGCGGTGCCAAGGGGATTAAGCGCCTGGGAACTCAACGCCTGACGCCAAGAGGCTTAAGCGTCTGACCCGCCTGGGAACTCACGCCTGGTGCCAAGAGGCTTAAGCGTCTGACCCACCCAGGGTCCCAGAGCCCCCAGCAGCCCCTCCCTTCTTATGTCACTACATATGTGTAAGTCTATAGACCACTGAGTCTATGGGTGGCTGTGTGATGAGTCTATGGGTGGCTGTGTATGTCTATGGCTCTACAGTGTAGATCTATGGGTCCCAATGTTAGTCAGTGGGTCTCAATGTGAGTCTGTGGGTCTCAATGCGAGTCTGTGGGTCTCTATGTGAGTCTGTGGGTCTCTATGTGAGTCTGTGGGTCTCTATGTGAGTCTGTGGGTCTCTATGTGAGTCTGTGGGTCTCTATGTGAGTCTGTGGGTCTCTATGCGAGTCTGTGGGTCTCTATGTGAGTCTATGGGTCTCTATGTGAGTCAATTGGTCTCTATGTGAGTCTGTGGGTCTCTATGTGAGTCTGTGGGTCTCTATGCAAGTATGTGGGTCTCTATGCGAGTCTGTGGGTCTCTATGTGAGTCTGTGGGTCTCTATGTGAGTCTGTGGGTCTCTATGCGAGTCTGTGGGTCTCTATGTGAGTCTGTGGGTCTCTATGTGAGTCTGTGGGTCTCTATGCGAGTATGTGGGTCTCTATGCGAGTATGTGGGTCTCTATGCGAGTCTGTGGGTCTCTATGTGAGTCTGTGGGTCTCTATGTGAGTCTGTGGGTCTCTATGTGAGTCTGTGGGTCTCTATGCGAGTATGTGGGTCTCTATGTGAGTCTGTGGGTCTCTATGCGAGTAGATGGGTCTCTATGTGAGTTTGTGGGTCTCTATGCGAGTCTGTGGGTCTCTATGTGAGTCTGTGGGTCTCTATGCGAGTCTGTGGGTCTCTATGTGAGTCTGTGGGTCTCTATGTGAGTCTGTGGGTCTCTATGCGAGTCTGTGGGTCTCTATGCGAGTCTGTGGGTCTCTATGTGAGTCTATGGGTCTCTGTGTGAGTGTGTGGGTCTCTATGTGAGTCTGTGGGTCTCTATGCAAGTATGTGGGTCTCTATGTGAGTTTGTGGGTCTCTATGCGAGTCTGTGGGTCTCTATGCGAGTCTGTGGGTCTCTATGTGAGTCTGTGTGTCTCTATGTGAGTCTGTGGGTCTCTATGTGAGTCTGTGGGTCTCTATGTGAGTCTGTGGGTCTCTATGCGAGTCTGTGGGTCTCTATGTGAGTCTGTGGGTCTCTATGTGAGTCTGTGGGTCTCTATGCGAGTCTGTGGGTCTCTATGCGAGTCTGTGGGTCTCTATGTGAGTCTGTGGGTCTCTATGCAAGTATGTGGGTCTCTATGCAAGTATGTGGGTCTCTATGCGAGTCTGTGGGTCTCTATGTGAGTCTGTGGGTCTCTATGTGAGTCTGTGGGTCTCTATGCAAGTATGTGGGTCTCTATGCGAGTCTGTGGGTCTCTATGTGAGTCTGTGGGTCTCTATGCGAGTCTGTGGGTCTCTATGCAAGTATGTGGGTCTCTATGTGAGTCTGTGGGTCTCTATGTGAGTCTGTGGGTCTCTATGCGAGTCTGTGGGTCTCTATGTGAGTCTATGGGTCTCCATTTATATAAAAAAAAAATATGTTTTTTAATTTAATTTCTACCTCCGTGACTTTACCGAAAGAACCAAAGAGTATTCTAGTGACATTATTACCAAAGTCACTGCATCATCATCATTATCAAAGCGTGTTTGTGTTGGCGTGTACACTACAATTACCGTGTGAGTGTGGTTGATGCAGACTGAATATTCATTGCAAAAAGGTTTCTGTTTGGAGTTGTAACATCTTAACTCCGGATTGCAGGGATTCATATTCTTGGTTCTTTCTACGTGACTTTACCGAAATAACCAAGAATATGAATATTAACTCCTGTTTTAATGCCAGAAAGGGTAACACCGATTACACTGGTCAACAAAAAAAATAAAAACATTTCTGGCCTGGACTTTTGCAGCTGTTCTAGACTAATTTCAGGGTGCCGATTCCAAATCTGATCTCAGATTTGCTCTATCACATCTCATTTTTAAATCCTTTATATTAAGTTCGCTTGCTTGCTTGCAAGCAAGCGAACTTAATATTAATACTATTAATACTAATATTAATACTGCAGACAATCATCTGACCCATAGGTGGCAGCCATCTCAAGCCAGAGGACGAGATGACTCTAGCCGCCACGCATATAAAGGATTTAGAGTGAAAAACTTTGTTTTTACGGGTTATACTTATTATGCTATCGGCATACCCCATTTTCATTGATTTTACCCGAAATTAACTCCGTCACTTATGATTGCAAGTTGTTGCGAGTCAGTGACTGCTTTAGCGTTAAAATATGGTGCTGTATTTTTAGGATAGTGTGTTTATAATATAATTTTATGGAGATATCCACATTTATGTAATATTTTTCTTCTGCAGTTTTTATTGAAAATGCAATATTTGATATCTCAAAACCTGATGTGATAGACAAAAACTGATGCCAGATTTGGAATCAGCACTCCAAAATTACATTTAAACCGGTGTTATTATTCATCGTTTGTGTACCATTTTGTGTTTAGCTAATCTTATTTATTATTTATTTACTATTTTTTGTGCACCTAATCTTATTTATTATTTATTTTCTATTTTACTTGCCAAGCAAATCTTTTATTATTATTTATTTACTCTTTTATTCGATGACCTATTCTTATTTATTTAGTTTTTTACTTGTCTCGCTATTCTTATTTACCATTAGTTTACTCTTTTATTTATTTATTTCTCTATTCTTATTCATCATTTGTTTACCCGTTTGTTTGTTTAGCTGTTCTTATATAAATTGTTGACACTTTCCTATGCTCTACTTTTGCACTCCTATCATGTGTTTGTAACTGTTGTTGTCACGTTCTGACCCCCCCCCCCCCTATCTATAAAACAAACACAAGCGCTTCACAGCTCATCGGATTCCCCTCTCTGTCTCTTTAATTAATTATTTACACACCACAAGACGCCTGACGTCACGGACTCGCCCCACCCCCCCCATAGCTAATCCGCGCTAACAAATGTAACGGCGCCTCGCTCGCGCGCATGCGCAGTACGTGCAAACACCCGTCCGCACGCCCGTTGCCGATCCGCGCTACGAATTCCAAAGCGGCTTCTCCCTCCGTTCTGTTTCCCGCCACAGGCTATTTTTTGTTGTTGTTTAGCGATTTGTTTGTTGTTGTTTGTGGATTTGTTGTTGTTGTTGTTTGTCGATTTTGTTGTTGTTGTGTGGCGATTATCGCTGCGGAAGACGACGTCTGAGGTAAAACGCGACGTCGCCCTCCCCTCAGAGAACACGAGCGCAGGTCGCGTCGTCGCGAACTCCTCTGGCGAGAGAGAGGAGAGTCGTCTGTGTGTCTGTGTGTGTGTGTCTGTGTGTGTGTGTGTGTCTGTGTGTGTGTCTGTATGTGTGTGTGTGTGTGTGTGTCTGTGTGTGTGTGTGTGTCTGTGTGTGTGTGTCTGTGTGTGTCTGTGTGTGTGTGTGTCTGTGTGTGTGTGTCTGTGTGTGTGTGTCTGTCTGTGTGTGTATGTCTGCGTGTGTGTGTTTGTGTGTCTGTGTGTGTGTCTGTGTGTCTGTGTGTGTGTGTCTGTGTGTGTGTGTGTGTCTGTGTGTGTGTCTGTATGTGTGTGTGTGTCTCTGTGTGTGAGTGTGTGTGTGTCTGTGTGTGTGTCTGTGTGTGTCTGTGTGTGTGTCTGTCTGTGTGTGTGTCTGTGTGTGTGTGTCTGTGTGTGTGTCTGTGTGTGTGTGTCTGTGTGTGTGTCTGTGTGTGTCTGTGTGTGTGTCTGTCTGTGTGTGTGTGTCTGTGTGTGTGTCTGTGTGTGTGTGTCTGTGTGTGTGTCTGTGTGTGTCTGTGTGTGTGTCTGTCTGTGTGTGTGTGTCTGTGTGTGTGTCTGTGTGTGTGTGTCTGTGTGTGTGTCTGTGTGTGTGTGTCTGTGTGTGTGTCTGTGTGTGTGTCTTGTGTGTGTGTGTCTGTGTGTCTGTCTGTGTGTGTGTGTCTGTGTGTGTGTCTGTGTGTGTGTGTCTGTGTGTGTGTGTGTGTCTGTGTGTGTGTCTGTATGTGTGTGTGTGTGTCTCTGTGTGTGAGTGTGTGTGTGTCTGTGTGTGTGTCTGTGTGTGAGTGTGTGTGTCTGTGTGTGTGTCTGTGTGTGTGTGTCTGTGTGTGTGTCTGTATGTGTGTGTGTGTGTCTCTGTGTGTGAGTGTGTGTGTGTCTGTGTGTGTGTCTGTGTGTCTGTGTGTGTCTGTGTGTGTGTCTGTGTGTGTGTCTGTGTGTGTGTGTCTGTGTGTGTGACTGTGTGTCTGTGTGTGTCTCTGTGTGTGTGTCTCTGTGTGTGTGTGTGTCTGTGTGAGTGTCTGTGTGTGTGACTGTGTGTCTGTGTGTGTGTGTCTGTGTGAGTGTCTGTGTGTGTGACTGTGTGTCTGTGTGTGTCTCTGTGTGTGTGTCTCTGTGTGTGTGTCTGTGTGTGTGTCTGTGTGAGTGTCTGTGTGCGTGACTGTGTGTTTGTGTGTGTGTGTCTGTGTGTGTCTCTGTGTGTGTGTCTCTGTGTGTGTGTGTGTGTGTCTGTGTGAGTGTCTGTGTGTGTGACTGTGTGTCTGTGTGTGTGTGTCTGTGTGTGTCTCTGTGTGTGTGTCTGTGTGAGTGTCTTTGTGTGTGTGTGTGAGTGAGTGTCTGTGTGTGTGAGTGTGTGTGTGTCTGTGTGTGTGTCTGTGTGTGTGTGAGTGTGTGTGTCTGTGTGTGTCTTTGTGTGTGTGTGTCTGTGTGTGTGTCTGTCTGTGGGGAGCGGTAGTGTAGCGGTTAGCGCGCTGCGCTATGAACCTGGCGACCCGGGTTCGATTCCCGCTCACGGCCAACACCAGTGACGATTATCTGAACCGGTCCTGGGCCTCCCCTAGGTCGACTCAGCCTTAAATGAGTACCTGGTGCGGTGTGTAAACATCGCCACTAGGGAGACAAAGGCGGTCGGGCGTGGTGCTGGCCACCCAGCCCCTCGTGTACCGTTCCGGCCTTCATTGGTGCTCGCTAACAACACTTGCCCCTACAGTCTGTTAAGGCTATACGGGGGATCTTTATCTTTGTGTCTGTCTGTGTGTGTGTTTGTGTATGTGTGTGTGTCTGTGTGTGTCTGTCTGTGTCTTTGTGTGTCTGTGTGTGTGAGTGTCTGTGTGTGTGAGTGTCTGTGTGTTTGTGTGTCTGTGTGTGAGTGTCTTTGTGTGAGTGTGTGTGTCTGTGTGTGAGTGTCTGTGTGTGAGTGTCTGTGTGTGTGTCTGTGTCTCTGTGTGTGTGTGTCTGTGTGTGTCTGTCTCTGTGTGTCTTTGTGTGTGTGTGTGTGTCTGTGTGTGTGTGTCTGTCTCTGTGTGTCTTTGTGTGTGTGTGTGTGTCTGTGTGTGGGTGTCTGTGTCTTTGTGTGTCTGTGTCTTTGTGTGAGTGTGTCTGTGAGTGTGTGTGTCTGTGTGTGAGTATGTCTGTGTGTGTCTGTGAGTGTGTGTGAGTGAGTGTGTGTCTGTGAGTGTGTGTGAGTGAGTGTGTGTCTGTGTGTGTGTGAGTGTGTGTGTGAGTGTCTGTGTGTGTGTGTCTGTGTGTGTGTGTGTGTCTTTGTGTGTATGTGTGTGTGTGAGTGTCTTTGTGTGTGTATGTGTGTGTGTCTGGTGTGTGTGTGGGGAGTGGTGGGTGTAGTGGTTAGCGCTACGCTGCGCTACAAACCCGGCGACCCGGGTTCGATTCCCGCTCACGGCCAACATCATTGACGATTGGGCCTCCCCTAGGTAGACTCAGCCTCAAATGAGCAACCTGGTGCTGCGTGTAAACATCGCCACTGGGGAGACAAAGGCGGCCGGGCGTGGTGCTGGCCACCCACCCCCTCGTGTGCCACAGTGCCGGTAGCCTTCATAGGTGCTCGCTAACAGCACTTGCCCCTACAGTCTGTTACAGGCTACACGGGGGACCTTTGTCTTTGTGTCTTTGTAATGGCCGCGCCCATGTGCGGCCTTGCCTAGGCTCTCGTTCTCCGCGTTAATCGCCGCTGGCTAAAGTCGCCCCCCTCCTCCACCCTCCACCCTGCACACGACCATACTTCACCACTCTGGTCACGCGTGTCGTGTTGTTGTTGTTTGTTGAAATATTTACAAATTTGGTGTGGCATAGACGCACTGTACAGTGCAGCAACAAGGGGGTTGTGGGTCTCTCATGCACTGCACCTCTGCTGCTTACCACTGCCACCACCACGCAGCCTATAGCAGCTGGTATTTATGGATGGAAATCGACGATCCTAGTCATGATCCAGGATCAGCAGCTGCGGCTGTGCGCGCAATGCGGGCTGCACAACCCCGCTAACGCAGTTGTGGTTGTTGTTGTTGCCGTGGTTGTAATAGTTGTGGTTGTGGCTATAGTTGTGGTTAGAGTTGTTGAGATTGTAATAGTTGTGGCTATAGTTGTGGTTATAGTTGTTGAGATTGTAATAGTTGTGGCTATAGTTGTGGTTGTAGTTGTTGAGATTATAATAGTTGTGGCTGTAGCTGTGGTTGTAGCTGTAGTTGTGGTTATAGTTGTGGTCATAGTTTTGGTTGTGGTTATAGTTGTGGTTATAGTTGTGGCTGTGGTTATAGTTGTGGTTATAGTTGTGGCTATAGTTGTGGTTATAGTTGTGGCTATAGTTGTGGTTATAGTTGTGGCTGTGGTTTTGAGTGTGTGGCTGTTGCCGTGTTGTAGTCGCCGGCGGTTGTTGACGCAGTTGTGGTGATGGTGGTTGTGGTGATGGTGGTTGTGGTTGTTGTTGTGGTCTCAGCACCATGGGCACCGGTGCCGATGTGCGTGACATCTTGGAGCTTTCGGCGGACGGGGAGATGGTGGCACCCATCAGCAAACGCGACCTCCTGCTGCAGACCGACAAGGTGCCAGCAGCCATTCTTCACCACCTCAACCACCTCAACCACTCACCACCACCTCAACCACTCACCACCACCCATACTTCACCACCTCAACCACTCACCACCACCCATACTTCACCACCTCAACCACTCACCACCACCTCAACCACTCACCACCACCCATACTTCACCACCTCAACCACCTCAACCACTCACCACCACCCCTACTTCACCACCTCAACCACTCACCACCACCCGTACATCACCACCTCAACCACCTCGCGCGTGTCTGTGCGTGTGTCTGTGCGCGTGTCTGTGTGTCTGCGTGCGTGTCTGTGTGTCTGTGCGCGTGTCTGCGTGTCTGTGTGCCTGTGCGTGTGTCTGTGCGCGTGTCTGTGTGTCTGTGCGCGTGTCTGTGTGTCTGTGCGCGTGTCTCTGTGTCTGTGCGCGTGTCTGCATGCCTGTGTGTCTGTGCGTGTGTCTGTGTGTCTGTGTGCGTGTCTGCGTGTCTGTGTTTGGGTTTTTAGAAAAAGTCAAAGAAGCTGGCAGAGACTCCGACGTTCAAGCGTCCGGAGGGGATGCACCGAGAGGTCTACGCCCTGCTCTACTCGGACAACAAGTGAGACACGACGCATGCCCGTGCGTGTCCCACCGTGTCTCACCGTGTCTCAGTGTGTCTCAGTGTGTCTCACCACATCCCACCGTGTCTCACCACATTGTACCGTGTCTCACGTCTCATTGTGTCACACCTCGTCCCACCGTGTCTCTCTCCCCGCGTCCCACCCACACCATGTCTCTCTCCCCGCGTCTCTCTCCCCGCGTCTCACCCCCCGTGTCTCTCTCCCGGCGTCTCACCCCCCGTGTCTCTCTCCCGGCGTCTCACCCCCCGTGTCTCTCTCCCTGCGTCTCACCCCCCGTGTCTCTCTCCCGGCGTCTCACCCCCCGTGTCTCTCTCCCGGCGTCTCACCCCCCGTGTCTCTCTCCCGGCGTCTCACCCCCCGTGTCTCTCTCCCGGCGTCTCACCCCCCGTGTCTCTCTCCCTGCGTCTCACCCCCCGTGTCTCTCTCCCGGCGTCTCACCCCCCGTGTCTCTCTCCCCGCGCATCGTCTCAGGGACGCCCCGCCGGTGCTGCCCAGCGACACGTCTCACCGTGTCTCACCGTGTCTCACCGTGTCTCACCGTGTCACCACGTCCCACCCACCGTCTCAGGGACGCCCCGCCGGTGCTGCCCAGCGACTCGTCCCAGGGCTACCGCACGGTGAAGGCGCGCCTCGGGTGCCGCGTGGTGCGGGCGTGGCGCTGGACCCCCTTCACCCACCCGGCGCGCACCGACGGCGCCGTCTTCCACCACTGGCGGCGCGCCACCGACCAGCCCAGCGAGTATCCCTTCGCTCGCTTCAACAAGGCACGCACACGACAACAACAACAACATGAACAACAACAACATGAACAACAACAAGTGGCGGTGTGACGTCACCGCTAAGTGGCGGTGACGTCACCACGCCGCTTGTGCCAGGCCTCGTGCCGTGGGTCGATTGACCGAGATGAGTGGCCGATGCACCAGCTGTGCCCCCCACTGTGCCAGACTAGGTGCTCGAGGTCACGGGACAGACCCAGGTGGTGTGCCGCTGCTGCTGCTACTGCTGGTGCTGCTGCTGCTGTTGCTGATGATGATGCTGCTGCTGCTGCTGCTGATGATGCTGCTGCTGCTGCTGCTGATGCTGATGATGCTGCCGCTGCTGCTGCCGCTGCTGCTGCCGCTGCCGATGCCGCCGCTTGATGTTGTCGTCGTTGCCGGCGCAGAGCGTGCAGGTGCCCGTGTTCACGGAGCAGGAGTACGCGTCGCACCTGCAGCACGACGACTGGAGCCGCGCCGAGACTGACCACCTGCTCGACCTCTGCCAGCGGTTCGACCTGCGCTGGGTGGTCATGCACGACCGCTACGACTGCAACACCTACAAGGTGCGTACATGTTGACTACCTCGCCTGGTACGCAGGAGGTCGTGGGTTCAATTCCAACCCTGACGCCTGCTGCTGCTGTATATTTGGAGTTTGTGTGTGTGTCTCTTTCATCATCATCACGGTGGCTAGGAGATGTTAACTACCTCGCCTGGTATGCAGGAGGTCGTGGGTTCAATCCCGACCCTGACGATGCCTGCTGCTGTATATTTGGAGTCTGTGTCTCTCTCATCATCATCATCACGGTGGCTAGGAGACGTTGACTACCTCGCCTGGTATGCAGGAGGTCGTGGGTTCAATCCCGACCCTGACGATGCCTGCTGCTGCTGTATATTTGGAGTCTGTGTCTCTCTCATCATCATCATCACGGTGGCTAGGAGACGTTGACTACCTCGCCTGGTACGCAGGAGGTCGTGGGTTCAATTCCAACCCTGACGACGCCTGCTGCTGTATATTTGGAGTCTGTGTCTCTCTCATCATCATCATCACGGTGGCTAGGAGATGTTGACTACCTCGCCTGGTATGCAGGAGGTCGTGGGTTCGATCCCGACCCTGACGACGCCTGCTGCTGCTGTGTATTTGAAGTTTGCGTGTCTCTCATCATCATCATCACGGTATCTAGGAGATGTTAACTTCCTCGCCTGGTATACAAGAGGTCGTGGGTTTGATCCCGACCCTGACGATCCCTGCTGTGTATTTGGAGTTGCTCCATCTCTCTCCGTGTCTCTTTCTCCGTAGCGACGCTCTGTGGAGGACCTGAAGTAGCGCTACTACTCCAACTCTGTGTGTCTCCATCTCTCTCCGTGTGTCTCCGTGTGTCTCCGTCTCTCTCCGTGTGTCTCCGTGTGTCTCCATCTCTCTCCGTGTGTCTCCGTGTGTCTCCGTGTGTCTCCGTCTCTCTCCGTGTGTCTCCGTGTGTCTCCGTCTCTCTCCGTGTGTCTCCGTGTGTCTCCATCTCTCTCTGTGTGTCTCCGTGTGTCTCCGTGTGTCTCCATCTCTCTCCGTGTGTCTCCATCTCTCTCCGTGTGTCTCCGTGTGTCTCCATCTCTCTCCGTGTGTCTCCGTGTGTCTCCATCTCTCTCCGTGTGTCTCCGTGTGTCTCCATCTCTCTCCGTGTGTCTCCGTGTGTCTCCATCTCTCTCCGTGTGTCTCCATCTCTCTCCGTGTGTCTCCGTGTGTCTCCATCTCTCTCCGTGTGTCTCCATCTCTCTCCGTGTGTCTCCATCTCTCTCTGTGTGTCTCCGTGTGTCTCCGTGTGTCTCCGTGTGTCTCCGTGTGTCTCCATCTCTCTCCGTGTGTCTCCATCTCTCTCCATGTGTCTTCATCTCTCTCTGTGTGTCTCCGTGTGTCTCCGTGTGTCTCCGTGTGTCTCCATCTCTCTCTGTGTGTCTCCGTGTGTCTCCGTGTGTCTCCGTGTGTCTCCATCTCTCTCCGTGTGTCTCCATCTCTCTCCGTGTGTCTCCGTGTGTCTCCATCTCTCTCCGTGTGTCTCCATCTCTCTCCGTGTGTCTCCATCTCTCTCTGTGTGTCTCCGTGTGTCTCCGTGTGTCTCCGTGTGTCTCCATCTCTCTCCGTGTGTCTCCATCTCTCTCCGTGTGTCTCCGTGTGTCTCCATCTCTCTCTGTGTGTCTCCATCTCTCTCCGTGTGTCTCCGTGTGTCTCCATCTCTCTCCGTGTGTCTCCGTGTGTCTCCGTGTGTCTCCGTCTCTCTCCGTGTGTCTCCGTGTGTCTCCGTCTCTCTCCGTGTGTCTCCGTGTGTCTCCATCTCTCTCCGTGTGTCTCCGTGTGTCTCCGTGTGTCTCCGTGTGTCTCCATCTCTCTCCGTGTGTCTCCATCTCTCCCCCTGTGTCTCCGTGTGTCTCCGTGTGTCTCCGTGTGTCTCCGTGTGTCTCCGTGTGTCTCCGTCTCTCTCTGTGTGTCTCCGTGTGTCTCCGTGTGTCTCCGTGTGTCTCCGTGTGTCTCCATGTCTCTCTGTGTGTCTCCGTGTGTCTCCGTGTGTCTCCGTGTCTCCATCTCTCTCCGTGTGTCTCCATGTGTCTTCATCTCTCTCTGTGTGTCTCCGTGTGTCTCCGTGTGTCTCCATGTGTCTCCATCTCTCTCCGTGTGTCTCCATGTGTCTTCATCTCTCTCTGTGTGTCTCCGTGTGTCTCCGTGTGTCTCCATGTGTCTCCATCTCTCTCCGTGTGTCTCCGTGTGTCTCCGTGTCTCCATCTCTCTCTGTGTGTCTCCATGTGTCTCCATCTCTCCGTGTGGCTCCGTGTGTCTCCGTAGCGACGCTCCGTGGAGGACCTGAAGGAGCGCTACTACTCCATGACGTCGCGTCTCCTCCGTGCCCGCGCCCCGCCCGGCACGGAGCCGCGTGCCGTCCCCGCCTTCGACGCCGAACACGAGCGGCGGCGCAAGCAGCAGCTGGAGCGTCTCTTCAGCCGCACGCCGGAGCAGGTGCGGAGCTCATGGGGGGCGGGGCGGGGGGTCGGACTCCCGGTGGTTGGAGGTCGCAAACGGGTTTTGATTCCTTACCCGTACCCGTACCCGGCCGCACCAGGGTCGCAAACGGGTACCCGTACCCGGCCGGGTAGGGTACGGGTACAGGTACCCGATTGCGACCTCTGGGATGAAGCCATGTTGCAGGCGCGGGTGGGTTGATTCTAGGAACTGAATTGTGAGAAGAGACAAGACGTTGGGAAATGAGTGACAAACGGTGACTCACCAGTGACTCACGGCCTACCCGTACCCGTTTGCGACGGGTGTAGTGGCGTTACGTGACAAACACACGTCGGTTACAGCTCGCAGCCTTGGCTTACCCGCAGGGGGCTGTGGGCTTTGGATCCTGCGCTGTGATCCCTCAGAACCCCGCCCCTCGGTGAGGAATTAGTATAAAAGACGGGGAGCCAGAGAGGCATGGGGGGGCAGTGTTCGCGAGTCGAAGTCGGAAGACCCAGTTGAAGGGTCAGGATCGAACCCACGATCTCCTGCGTACCAGGCGAGGTAGTTAACATCTCCTAGCCACCGTGATGATGATGACAGAGAGACACGCAAACTCCAAATATACAGCAGCAGGCGTCAGGGTCTCCTCTGACCCGCAGCCCTTCTGAGGACCGGGTCTGTGTGGCTGGTGTTCGGGACCTGCGTCTTGGCTGGGCCAGGTCAGGTAGCCTCCCCTAGAGCCCTTAGCGGAGGACCTGGGAGCGTAGGTGGATAGGCAGGTGGGCCTAGGGGTGTCTCCCAGAGTAGTACGGGTGAAGGGGCCGTTACCCCCTTCAAGAGTTGTATACGTTGCCCCGTGTCAAGTGTTCAGTCGCACTGAATAGTGTTGCCTCTACTTCATCGTCTCTGTCGTGCGAGAACCCACCGCACGGGGAGAGAGAGACGACGCAAACTCCAAATACACAGCAGGGATCGTCAGACCCCCACGGCATTGCTGTATAGAGCCACAAGGGGGCAGCTACCCGGCTATCCTTGACGATGTCCCCCTCCCCGTACCCCCTCCCCGTACCCCCACCCCGTACCCCCTCCCCGTACCCCCTCCCCGTACCCCCGCCCCGTACCCCCTCCCCGTGCCCCCTCCCCGTACCCCCTCCCCGTACCCCCTCCCCCTACCCCCGCCCCATACCCCCTCCCCGTACCCCCGCCCCGTACCTCCTCCCCGACTCAGCTGGCGGAAGAGGAGACGCTGGTGTCGGAGCTGCGTCGCATCGAGTCTCGCAAGAAGGAGCGCGAGCGCGCCACGCAGGACCTGCACAAGCTGATGGGCGCGGCGACCAGCGCCACGGCCTCGCTGCAGCACCACCACCACCAGCAGCAGCAGCAGCAGCACCAGCAGCAGCAGCAACAGGGCCACGGGCAGCAGCACGGGGGGGCGGGTTCGGCGGCGGCGGCGTCGGGGGGACCGGGGGGCCAGGCGGGAGGGCCCCCCCCCCACCACCACCACCATCACCACCACCATCACCACCACCACCACCACCACCACCGCGCGCACGAGCGCAAGGCCAGCAAGAAGAAGGCGACGCACCGGCGGGGAGACTCGGGGGACCGGGCGGTAAGACCCGCGCACGCACACACGCATACGTACACACACGCACGCACACGTACACACACGCACGCACACGTACACACACGTACACACACACACGTACACACATGTACACACACGCGCACGTACACACACGTACACACACGCACGCACACGTACACACACGTACACACACACACGTACACACATGTACACACACGCGCACGTACACACACGTACACACACGTACACACACGCACGCACACGTACACACACGTACACACACACGTACACACACGTACACACACGTACACACACGCGCACACGCACACGTACACACACGTACACACACGCACGTACGACGACGATGACGACGATGATGACGACGACGATGATGACGGCGATGATGGGCGGTGTCTATTGGTCGGCGGGCCACGCTAAAGGCCACCAGGGACCGCCAGTGGCCCCCTGCGCGGGGCCTTGCAATGAGGAACGCTGCCGTTAGACTCTGTGGGGGACACTGGCATTCGACAGCAGTCATGGAGGGTTGTGTATTCATTACTGTGCCTCTGTGACCTCTCCGTGACCCCGCCGTGACCTCTCCGTGACCCCGCCGTGACCTGCCCGTGACCCCGCAGTGACTGCCCGTGACTCCGCCGTGACCTCGCCGTGACCCCGTGTGACTCCCCGTGACCCCGCCGTGATCCCCTGTGACTCGCCGTGACCCCGCCGTGATCCCCCGTGACCCCGTGTGACCCCGCAGGCTGTACTGGAGACAGCCGGGATCAAGTTCCCGGATGCCAAGTCAGCCGGGGTGATGCTGCGCAGTCAGAGGGTGTGTCTCTCTCTCTCGCTCTCTCGCTCTCGCTCGCTCGCTCTCTCTCGCTCGCTCTCTCACTCGCTCGCTCTCTCGCTCTCTCTCTCGCCCACTCTCTCTTACTCTCTCTCGCTCTTTTGTTTACGATCAGTGGAAACAAGAAGATGCTCGGTGTAGTCGGCACTTTGCTTCGTTCATCATTTCGTAATTTTTTTTTTTTAACTTTGCTTTATGTGAACCCCCACCTCTCGCTCACTCTCTCGCTCACTCTCTCACTCGCTCTCTGCTCACTCTCTCGCTCACTCTGTCCCTCTCTCTCTCTCGCTCACTCTCTTGGTCACTCTCTCGCTCACTCTCTCACTCTCTCGCTCACTCTCACTCTCTCTCTCCTCTCGCTCACTCTCTTGGTCACTCTCTCACTCTCTCGCTCCTCCACTCTCTCTCTCACTCTCTCTCTCACTCTCTATCGCTCCCTCTCACTCTCTCACTCTCTCTCTCACTCTCTCGCTCACTCTCTCACTCTCTCGCTCCCTCTCACTCTCTTCTCTCACTCTCTCGCATCACTCTCTCGCTCTCTCTCTCTCTCGCTCCGTGTTGTGGTGACGTGGTGGTGCGCTGCGTTCTGTTTTGTTGTGACCAGATGAAGTTGCCAAGCTCCGTTGGCCAGAAGAAAGTGAAAGCGATCGAGCAGATCCTCACCGAGCTGGGCATCGGTACGTGGCTCACCGTGGCAGCTCACCGTAGCGGCTCACCGTGACTCACCGTGACTCACTGTGGCGGCTCACCATGACTCACTGTGGCGGCTCACCGTGGCTCACCGTAGCGGCTCACCGTAGCGGCTCACCGTGACTCACCGTGACTCACTGTGGCGGCTCACCGTGGCTCACCGTGGCTCACCGTAGCGGCTCACCGTGACTCACCGTGACTCACCGTGACTCACCGTGGCGGCTCACTACTCAATACACGGCTCACGGCACGCGTCTCCCCAACCATCACGTGGTTCCGCACATCCCCCGTGTCTCCCCACCCCCCCCCCCCCCGTGTCTCCCCCCCCCCCCCGTCTCCCCACTGCACCCCCCCCGTGTCTCCCCACCCCCGTGTCTCCCCACCCCCGTGTCTCCCACCCCCCCCCCATGTCTCCACCCCCGTGTCTCCACCCCCCCCCCCCCCCCCCCCGTGTCTCTCCACACATTCCGCCGTCTCCCCACTCCACCAGTATCTCCCCACTCACCCCCCCCGTGTCTCCCCCCCCCCGTGTCTCCCCCCCCCCCGTGTCTCCCCCCCCCGTGTCTCCCCCCCCGTTCTCCCCGCCCCCCCCCCATGTCCTCCACCCCCGTGTCTCCCCCACCCCCCCGTGTCTCCCCACCCCCCCCCCCCCGTGTCCCCCCCACCCCCCCCCGTGTCCCCCCCCACCCCCCAGACCTGAGCCCGATGCCCACGGAGGAGGTGGTGCTGCTGTACAACGAGCTGCGCTCCGACCTGGTGCTGCTCTACGAGCTGAAGCAGGCGCTGGGCACCTGCGAGTACGAGCGGCACACGCTCACGCACCGCTACCACAACCTGCGCGCCATCGCGGGGGGCTCCGAGCCGCCGACGACGGCACCGGCGCCGCCGGGGGGTCGGAGGGGGCGTGCCGGCGCGGCGTCTGCCGGCGCCGCCCCCATCCTCCTCCTCCGCGTCGACCGGCGCGACCCGCGACCGCGGCGCTGCCGCCACCAACCGCCGCCGTCGTCATCCTCGTCCTCCTCCACCTCCTCCTCCTCGTCGTCCGTGTCGGTGCCGACCGCCGGCGTGCGGCCAGGTGAGGCGGTGGCGGTGGCGCTGTGGTGGTGGTGGCGCTGTGGTGGTGGTGGCACTGTGGTGGTGGTGGGTGGTGCTGCGGTGGTGGTGGCGCTGCGGTGGTGGCCGTGGTGGTGGTGGTGGTGGCGGTGGTGGTGGTGGCGTGGGGGTGGGGTGGCGCTGCGGTGAAACGGACAGAACCTTTTCTCGTTCAATGATAAAGTAAAGCAATGTGCTTGTCGTATCGCTAGCTTGTTTTACTAACGGGTGGACGCGCCTCGCACCTCCCGATTATCACGATTGGCGACGTCACTTAGCTAAAGAAGTGTACAACACAGACACGCAGACACACAAACACGCAGACACCGCAGACACGCAGACACGCAGACACGCGCGCGCTGACGTTCAGTTACTTCCCTCAGTGGTGGGGGGGGTGAGGAGGTGGGGTGAGGAGGAGGGGTGAGGAGGTGGGGTGAGGAGGTTGGGGTGAGGAGGAGGGGTGAGGGGTGAGGGAGGAGGGGTGAGGAGGTGGGGTGAGGAGGGAAAGTGCTGTGCCCCCCTTAGCTTGCGTGGAGCAGAGGTCACTGGAAGGGTTTGTGGGTAGTGCTTCTATCTCACAGGATCTCCCTTGCCAGTAATCACAATATAAGAATAGGTTTTACCTCTCTCCAGCAATCAAACATTGTGTTAAGATTTTAGAACACAAAACTGGAACCTTTTTGCAAGGAATCGTGTCTGCATCAACCACACAAGGTAGCTTGTGGTGAACATGCAAAAAAAAAACACACTCTGGTAGTAGATGATGATGCATTGCCTTTGAAACTGATTGGTCCACACCAGAGCAGAGGTCGCAAAGGGTTTTGATTCCTTACCCGTACCCGGCCGCACCAGGGTCGCAAACGGGTACGGGTATCGGGTACCCGATAGCGAACTCTGGAATGAAGCCACGTTGCAGGCGCGGGTGGGTTGATTCTAGGAACTTGAATTGCGAGAAGAGACAAGACGTTGGGAAATGAGTGACAAACGGTGACTCACCAGTGACTCACGGCCTACCCGTACCCGGCCGCACCAGGGTCGCAAACGGGTACCCGGTACGGGTAGCCGGGTATCGGGTTGGGTACGGGTATCGGGTACCTGGTTGCGACCTCTGCACCAGAGACCGCTTTCTTTAGAGCCAAGTCTCACT